TTATACTAATTTATGCAATGCTTTTGACACGAAATAAATAAATATCACTGGAGAACATCCTACATCTAGGAAAATAATTCTACATTTCAAAGAAGAAAGGCAAATACATGGGCTTCATTAAACCACTGGAAGAATTTTAGAACAAATTTATAAACGAACACATAAAGGCAAGATAGTATTTTTCATAATAAGAAACACTTGGAATTCAGTGTGACTTCTAAATGGGATTAAAAACTAACAAACACTAGGACTCTTTCTCCAGGTAAGATTAGAGAACATAACAAGGGCATATTTGATAGAGAACTCCGATTGAGATTTAGATTCAACCCTGTCATCTTTCAAGGACAAAGCAGGTGGTCTAAAGAATATCATTTTCTCAATATCTCAGTTTTGGATGTATAAATATGCACGTAAAAATGATGGACTTCACAGAGTTGTGGCATGGAGAACAGGGTCAAGATTGTAAAGATGCCTAGAACAGCTGCATCAGTCTAAGTAGCAGAAGGCTTTGCAGCTCACAAAAACGGTGGAACGTACTCTGTAAAAGAAGATATATGCTTTTAAGAGGTAGAGCTTGATTTTGTATCCCAGTTCCATGGGACTCAATGGGAATTATTCCCAAGGACATGCACAAAGAGCCCTAGCCTGCACAAGCCACTCTTAAACTAGTACGGTTGTACAATAACATTTCTGAAGCTGTTGATTCTGTTGTTATTAAGAGGGAATGAAGTGAAAAATACTAATGTTTTATTGCAACAAACAATAATTATCTTCATTCCAAGGAAACCCCTCGGGTGCTGGACGAGTGCCTGGCCGCTGTGGCTGTCTGGATGAGGATGAACAAGCTGAAGATTAATCTCGACAAGACAGAGGTCCTTCTGGTCGATCGTAAACCGGATCGGGGTATAGGGTGGCAACCTGTGCTGGACGGGGTTACACCCCCCCTGAAGTCACAGGTCCACAGTTTGGGTGTCCTCTTGGACTCATCACTTACGCTTGAGGCTCAGGCGTTGGCAGTGGCCGAGAGGGCTTTTGCACAATTGAGACTCGTGCGCCAACTGCGACCGTACTTCGTAAAGGCTGATCTGGCCGGGTTGGTCCATGCCTTGATCATCTCCAGACTGGACTACTGTAATGCGCTCTACATGGGGCTGCCCTTGAAAACGGCTCGGAAAGGCCAGGTTGTTAACTGGTGCAGTCTTTAGGAAGAGCTTAAAGACCTGGCTGTTCCAGTGTGCCTTTCCAGAATAGGAAACTCCCAGCATCATGTCCCAAATGCACTTTATTAGAGATTTAAGATTGTCTGCACATCGCACCTACCTCTAAAAAACCTTTACATTTCACCTGTCATGTCCAGCACTTTTAAATTTTATTCATTACATTTGGCCCAGCCTTTAGTTTTAAATGCGTCATGGTGTTATTGTTTTAATGTTTTATTGTCATTGTTTTAATGTTTATTGGTTTGCTTTATGAGTTTTATTGTTGTATTTGTTATGTTGTTGTTTTATTGAGGGCCTTGGCCTTTGTAAGTCGCACCGAGTCCTGCGGGAGATGTTAGTGGGGTATAAATAAAGTTAATAATAATAATAATAATAATAATAATAATAATACAATGGTTTATGAAGGAATCCACAACGATACTGTTACCTTAAAATCTATTTTATAATTACTGTTTCATCTACAGCTGAGAATTAGCCAATTCTATGTAAATTGGGGGCATTAATCTTGCAGGTGGGGAACTAGATTCTGTTTAGAAACAGATCAAAGCAACCAGTCAGGAATAAATCTAGTTCCTGACTTTTATTTCTCAAGAGGAGAAACAAAGCAGAGGCAGATGCTTTCCTTGAAATGAGTCCCCCTCTCCAATGACGAGCCCTTTGCAAATGAAAGGCCTGAAACTAAGGAGATGCCAGATGATAAGATACTTGGCATTTCTGAAGAGGAAGCTCTAAATGAGATAATGTGTTGTCTTGGGAAACCCAAGAGGACCAGCCCACCTGGTCCTCTTGGGTTTCCCTGGAGGTTAGAGCAGCTGCTGGATTCACAGTCCACCATGGGGACCCCTATTTGTCAAGTGTCACGGGCCCAGGTGAAGATGAATTTTCATTCAGCCCCATTTGCCTCCCAAGTCCATTAATCCTTAGATGCTTCATGATGGATTTCCCCTTTGATTATTTATTTCCTTGCTGGCATCTCCGCCCACTGCCCTGCCACAGTACAAAAAGAGCAGAGCAGATGGTGTTTCCACATGGAGGGAAGAACCCAGGAGAAATACCGAGAGCCAGCCTACTCTACAGTCATGTGATTTCAAGTCCAAGGAGAAACCCTGATTTCCTCTGGGAGGCCAGAGAGGCAATCATCTGAGCATTCCCTGTGGGGAACAAGTGTGTATGTATGTGTATGGGCGGGGGCGGGGGGGAGTGCAGTGGAGGTCCTAACATGGGGATATAAAGGCTAACAGGCTATTGACAATGCAGACCACACACATCCTGGACTTTCAAAGGCATGGTCTCGTGCTGGCCATAGACTGACAGCAGCACCAGCAGATATTGTGCTGAAGGGGGCGGGGTGCTTTTTGGCATCCCATTTGAGGGTAACAAACTGGGGAACTGTCCTTCACTTAACCTCAGCATGGCTCTGACCCGTGTTTAATCAGAATGAACCAGGATTTATTGCCCATCTATGGATGCAGTTTGACACCTTCTGTAATCACAAGAGCTGCTGAGGCAAGGACAGCTGTCAGGCCAAACACCCTCATAAAAGGATAGATAAACTCAGATTCTACTTGGCTTGTTTTTTTTTTACTCAAAAGGGGTGTTGTTAACGCCTTGGTTTGTTGTACACCAGTTGCAAAGAAAAGGGGTCTGTGCTTGTAGTCAAGATTTGGTTACAATTAATCAATGTAACATGTGTTCAAAGAAAAGAAGAAAGAAGGGGAAAGAAAAGAAGAGAATAACGACAATGATTTTCTGGAATGTAGATCTGTGCAAACCACAAGAAACCAGATACTGTCAGATTTCCTATATTGTTTACCTCTAGAACTGGTCATATCCAGGGTGGTATAGAAAAAGATATAGTATGAAAAGAAGAGAATAACGACAATGATTTTCTGGAATGTAGATCTGTGCAAACCACAAGGATTAACCGAAGAAACCAGATATTGTATTGTCGAAGGCTTTCATGGCTGGAATCACTAGGTTCTTGTGGGTTTTTTCGGGCTAAAGAGCCATGTTCTAGAGGCATTTCTCCTGATGTTTCGCCTGCATCTATGGCAAGCATCCTGAGAGGTGTTTGCTTGCCATAGATGCAGGCGAAACGTCAGGAGAAATGCCTCTAGAACATGGCTCTTTAGCCCGAAAAAACCCACAAGAAACCAGATATTGTCAGATTTCCTATAACGTTTAAGTACTACCTCTAGAACTGGTCATATCCAGGGTGGTATGGAGAGAAACTATGTTGCAAAGATACAGACGCTATATGTAGGCACAACTATCTATATTAATAAAAATGTAATATTCAATGTATTGCCGAAGGCTTTCATGGCCGGAATCACTGGGTTGTTGTAGGTTTTCCGGGCTCAGAGGTAGTGAGGTAGTGACCTCACTACCTCTGAGGATGCTTGCCATAGATGCAGGCGAAACGTCAGGAGAAAATGCCTCTAGAATATGGCCATATAGCCCGGAAAACCTACAACAACCCAATGTAATATTCGTTTGTGGGATTAACATAACGGAAAAACCAATGGACAAATTGACACCAAATTTGGACAGAATACACCTATCAGGCCAACAAGTGACCATCACTCATAAAAACACTGAAAAACACAGCAGAAGGGACTTAAAAAGCCAAAAAACAAAAAAATTGCATTACAAAGCCTGCGCATAACCACATATACACACAAACGCACATATACACAAATATATACACACATATATGCATGTATATACACACAAAAGACATATTCAGAAAGGGGGAAGGAAGGAAGTGAGAGAAAGAGGGGGAAATGGAGGAAAGGAGAGAAGGAAGGAAGGAAAGAAAGGTAGAGAAGGAAGGAAGGAAGGAAATAAAAAAGTGAAATAAGTAAGGAAAGAGAGAGGGAAGGAAGGAAAGAAGGAACGAAAGAGACAAGGAAGGAAGGAAAGAGACAAGGAAGGATGGAACCAAAGACCAAAGAAAGGGAGGAAAGAAACAGGTAGAGAAGGAAGAAAGAAGAAGGAAAAGAAAAAGAGGGAAGGAAGGAAAAAGGGAGGGAAGGAAGGAGAGAAAGAGGGAGGGAAGGTTGGCCACAGCAACGCGTGGCGGGTACAGCTAGTGTCTTTAATATAATAAAATGGTAACAAAAGGAGATAGAAGCAATTTACATTAAAAAGGAACCTCCTCTGAATTACTGGAGCACAGTTTTTTCCATGAACAATTGCATATAATGGAATCCAGTCAAAATGGCATAGCTAATATAACCTTTTTCATCTGAAACTAAGGAAAGAAGCATACATAATTGTTTCCAGTCCTTCCCAATATTAACCCCTCTTATTATGTCTTTAGTTGTGTGGGTGTTTTTATAAAATTAAAAGAAAGAAAACAAATTTAGATGGACATTTAAGAAGAGAGAACAAGCTTGTTTAAAATCTTTAACTTCTCTGAGACTAACTTTACCATTAAAAGAGAGAAACGTTTAAGCTATTAGAAGGTGCATGAAATATTCTGCAATGGAAATAAAATAAAATCTACAAATTGTTGCTGTAATTTGCAAGTTATCTGAAAACCTTTCCTAATTTATGAGATCTCTCATTTATAAGATAACTCATTACTGCAGCAGAAAATGAAACACGATTAATGGTTTGGGATCAATGTTGAGAATCTTTGCTTGGAAGGCTGCATCGGAAATCTATTAACTGTTTCTAACCAGGACTCTGCTTTTATTTATTTAGTTGGCTTTTGGACTGTTCATTCAGTCTGTATGATCACGAGGGTTAAAAGACAAATATTCACGCATTACTTACCATAATGCAATGGTGTTTGACCTTCATCATCCTAGGGGGGAAACAGAAAAGAAAACTAGGTTGAGTTGTAGCCATGCACACATATATGGTAGAAAGCACACATTTTCCAAATACAGAAAACTTATTTGGACAGTCTTATAGTAGCTACATTGGTAACCTGGTATGGAAGGTGATAATAAAACACACTGTTGGAGTACAAGAACTCACAACTTTACGGTTGGAGAGATATTTGGCCTAGATGGAGGGAATGCATTCAAAGGACTTGTCTACTAACAATGATCATTTCAATCAGGCAAATCACAGGAGAGGACCTTGTGTGACAGATGTAGGACTCCACATGAGTAAAAGTTACAGTGTATCGCCTCAGAATAAGGACAGTTGATAGTTTTCAGCACAACACACTCCAGAACACATCAAACTGAAGTCTCATGAAGGAAATTCCAATGTAGGTATCATGGGCATCTAGACCAGTTTCCTCCACACAGGATTTGGTTCAAAGCCAAAATCATAAAAAATTATGTGATTTTGGCACAAAATAATGGTTGCTGAGTTCTAAGGACAAAATGCAAAAAGCAGAGTTCTGTAAAACCTTCACAGAGATTTGGAAGGAACCAGATAATGCTAGGAGGTATGGGGTATTTACTAGGGACCTTGGGGTGTCTATTGCTCAGTTTTGAAAGCACTGCCAGAACTTTGTTTATTACAAAACCTTGTTTAAAAAAACACAGACTTGGAAGGGATTCCACATCTTTATTAATAGTGTTTCTATAGAGCCCTGTCTCAAATGTTGTTCTGCGTGCACAACTCATCTTGAATGTGAGACTTTGTTGATATTTTAGCACCAACTTCATTCATTTCTGATTCAGATTGTGACCTCTGAGTGATTGAATCTTGTGCTTGTCCTGGTTCCTGAGTCAAGGTATTTCTATGACAGACTAACTATATTGTCAAAGGCTTTCATGGCTGGAATCACTGGAGTGTTGTGTGGAGGATCTTCTGAAGATGCCAGCCACAGACGCAGGCAAAACGTCAGTATAAAATGCTGCTAGAACATGATCATACCGCCCGGAAACCACACACCACTCCACTAACTATTGTTTTTCACAGTTGCCCAACACAGTACTTCATTTATAAAAACTAATCTACAAGGCTACATCCATATCAGAATCGATTGGCAGCTAACTGTAACACCTAACTAATTCTCTTCCTTTTAGATCAGAAGTCAAGCTCTCACAGAGTGTTGACTCTATCTCTCTCTTTGCTTTTCCAGTCACCTGTAAACTTCCAGTGAGAACATTAGTTTTACTGGGTTTTCTTAGGCAAGGAAACTGCCTTCCCCTAAAAAAGTGGTTCCCAACCTTTTTTTGACCAGGGACTACTTTGACCAGGAACCACTCCAACATTAATACCAAAAGGGATACAAATCAATTTTTGATCATCTTTAGATTCAGTTTGGGGTGCTGATTCAGAAAATTGTATTGGATAGATCACATCAGCTCTAGTTTCTGATGCAGAATATATGCCATGGTCAGCAACAGGGGAGGAGTTGCAGGCCGCGCCAAAGGAGTGGAAATAACATAAAATAAAATAACGAGGAAGGAGGCTCACGGACCAGATTTTCATCCTTATGGCCCACTGGTGGTACGTGGCCCACAAGGTAAGAACCACTGCCCTAAAATATAACCTATGGTGCTCAGTATTCCCTGGGACTCTCCCACCAAGCACTAGCCAACACTATCTCAGCTTATCCTTTAAAAAAAGATGGGATCTGGTGCTTTCCAAGTACTGAAGCTTCACAATGTTGAGTACTTATTCAAAATCAACAAAGAGCTCTGAAGAGGACTGACATTAAAATGGGTTACTATTTATACAGTTTTGAACAATGTCTATATGTTGTAAGGAGTTTGTGAAGATGACTCTGGGCTAGGAATTGAATGCCTGAGAAATTATGGCTATCTGTGTTGCCTCAACAAAACAGACTAAAGGGTTTCTAGCCATAACTGGCAAAATCGGCACAGAAAAACCAAAAAACAAGGAAAGTGCCCACATTACCACACATTTCAAATACTGCGACCCCACTGAAGTTTCCCTCAACTTTCAGGATGATAATTTAATAGTCCTTGTAACTCTCCGTTGATTTTTTGTATGTTTAATCATTTTATGGCAGGATCAGATTAAAAGTTCAATTCATTAAGGCAAGTTTTAAAGAGAATAAACAATCTCAAAGAGTAGGAAAAGATTACAGTTTAAAAATCTTATGCAACTATGATGTTTAGTTTTTCTTTTACTCCTGACAAAATATTAATCCAATGACCCTGAGTAGGCTGGAATCTAGGCAATCATGAGAGGTTTTCAAATGCCTACATGAAGCTGTGTCCTTGGATTTTACTGCCTGGAGAGCTATCTACATCTAATGGGCGTATAACTAAAGTGTGCTGGACAGAAATTGCGCTTAACTCAAGAGGAAGGAAACAGAATTCTTAATCTTGAGAAAATTCACCATGAAAACTCATTTGGGGAAGGAGGCACAAAGTAAGCATAAATGCTCAAGTTGAAGAAAACTAATAACCTTGTCATTTAATTCAACCAGCCTTTGTGAAAGTCTCACTGCCTCACAATGAAACCAGCTGCATAAAAGCTGAGCTTTTAAAATCCACACACAGTATCAGTTTAACCAACATACAAAACGGATGGGATTGTATGAATTTCAAAAGCTGTTTTTCAGAGCAATGTGATGTTCATTAGCCTCAAAAGAAAGGGATTGTTAAAGGTACTGGCTATTTACAGATGGCACATTGCAAGTGTATTACTCCCCCTTTTTAACTTCAGCTTTTGAAAAAAAAATCATTAAAAAAATCCAAATTTTCCCAAAAGACCTTCCCAGAGCAATAGTTGAGAAGAAATGAACAAATGTTGTTGTTATTCTACTTGTGATTATTATTATTATTATTATTATTATTATTATTATTATTATTATTATTATATCAAATCACTACCACAGTGCCAGTCATTTTGGTGTTTGTTTTTTTAAAAATCTTGAAAATCGAAGAATCTCAAATGTGTTATAATGCCACTGCTTGTAAAGTATTACTTCATACCACTGATTTATACCTAAATAGTACAGAATAGCAGAGTAACATTGTTTTCCGCATCCAACTCTGATAAATTGCATCTGGGCACATACCAGGGACATTTCCAGTCCTTCTTTAAAATGCAACCATAAATAAGCAAATGGAACTGAGTGACAACACTTGATCTTTTTTCCCTTTGAAATTGAGCAGGATAATTAAGTTTTATTTTGAGTTACTAAGCAAGAAGGGGAAATATTTGCCATAGTTATTTATACTCTGTTCTGTTCTGGGGTGAATTATTACCTAAATGTAGCTCATTTGGAGCTGTACCTATCAACAAGAACCAAGGAATACTGAAATATGGGAGAAATGGTTAATTGATCACGATTTTATATTTCACATTTCTGGAGGCTAGGAGTCATTATGTCCATTCCAACACTGAGTTCCGTCATTACCGTGATCCTGGAAGCTCATCCACGGTGTTCACAGCAGCTTTCAAACTGCCATTAATTTTTAACTGTCTAGAAATATGAAGCTTCTGTTGTGCTACATCACACTGTATTAAGGGCCAACTTAAAAAAACAAACGTTGCTTTCCTATTAGTTACGACATACTTATATGTTGCCAAAATGAAGGTTTATGGAACAGTAACCAAAGAAAGAACACTAAATGCTTGCTACTGATGGCCAGTTATGTCAAGCACACTTCCACAGCTTTGTTCCTTTCTCAGTCCCAAGTGTGTTGTTGTATGAACAGTATGCATCTTATGTGCATTTTTTATGAAGTTGAGCTCATCTCTTTTCTTATTCTTACCAAAAAACAAAAACGAAAACAGATATACTTTACTCTTTGCAAAAGAAATGCACATTCCTAAAACTAAAAACTGTGTAGCCAAACTGTTACTGATCTTAATATTAATACCCAGTTAATCCACCTTAGTTGTCCAACATGAAAAATAAAAAGAGAGGAAAGGATTCTTTGGGTTAATGCAAACATACATGTACATAGCAGTATGCACAAAGTTTTCTGACTATGTGTAGCAACCAGATCTAGCTACCCCATCCCAGCTTCTGTCTGCCTCCTTTTACATAGGTCCAGTCTGCACAGTTATGCAATGCAGTTTGAAACTGCATTACATTTCATTGTAGACCATGGTTACACCTCCTGAATTGTCCAGATGCTCTTAAGACTCTTCTGGGAATTGAAAAATGCAATGGGATGGGAGATGGCCAAGTCTCCGATGTCCAGATGGCCAAATCTCCTGTTTTACACTCACAGAACAAGTTTGGTTACACAGTTTTTAGTATGAGGAGAATATATTTCATCACATACTTCATCTAATGAAAACAAAGAAAGTTACATATAAATTTCAGGAAGTATACCATGAAGAGTATTTATTAGCCTGACCATAGGAGCCCCCGGTGGCACAGTGGTTTAAACTCCTGTGCTGGAAGGACTGAAGACCAACAGGTCGCAGGTTCAAATCCGGGGAGAGCATGGATGAGCTCCCTCTATCAGCTCCAGCTCTCCATGCAGGGACATGAAAGAAGCCTCCCACAAGGATGGTAAAACATCAAAACATTCGGCGTCCCCTGAGCAACGTCCTTGCAGACGGCCAATTCTCTCACACCAGAAGTGACTTGCAGTTCCTCAAGTCGCTCCTGACACGACCAAAAAACAAAACAAAACCTGACCTTTTTAGATTCAGAAGTAGAACTATATATCAAGCAAGGATTCACTTAGATTTTACTTAGATTTTTAAAATCTAAATTTCACATGGCGTTTCATATTCTAAATAACACCATTTCACACTTATACACATTCAAAATCAGTGGATTGTACTTATGCAACAATAAAGAGATTCATTTTCTGGGAGATTTTTATTTCAACTTTTTAAATGTCAAAGCAGTTGAAACCCACAAAATTCAAGAAGCAACATCTTAGTAGCAACCTATTCTCA